TCACACCTGGCCCTCTGGGAGATCCTTAAGTTCTAAGCTGGGTCATTCTACTGCAGCCCCACTCCGCCAAGGTTCATGTCCCTCGCACAAAGGAAAACGCATATAATTCGTCTGCAAGGGTCCAGAAGTCTTAACTGTTTTTTAAAGTTGCTCAAAAGTCCAAGTTCAAAGCATACTCTGAGACTGGACGCCAACTCAGCTGTAAGTCCCAAATTTAAAAGAAAACACAAAAACTGATGGCATACCTCCAAGATTCATTGATGTACGGAAACAGCATGAACATTCTAATGGCAAAAAGGAAGAACAGGAAGATTGTGGGGAGACCCAGGAGCACAGCGAGACTGAACCTCAAGGCCAGCATTGAATCCTACAGCTGCACCTTCAATCCAGGGGGCACATTGCTCCAATAGCGTTTCTGGTTGCAGGCCACACAACTCTCTTAGGGGGGCACTGTATGCTGAATGTTGCTGCTTTTGTCAACATCAGTCATCGCCTGCATCTCTTTCTCGCTGGGGTTTCGGCTGCAGCGCTATCTTCACCATACCCTGATATGGTTCCTTAGGCTGTCCTGGGTTTCAGCATGCCCTTGGGACTGTTTCCTTCAGCTGCTGTCTTTGAAACAAATTGGCACTTTTCTATTCCTCAGAAGACCCCAGGCTGTCTTTCCCATTGTCTTATGTTCAAAGCCCCTGGATTCTTTTTCTGGGCACTAATTTCTTCAGCAGCTACCCGCTCCTAGGCTAAAATTTTACACGTGTACCTCTTTAGGTCATACTGCAAGTTTTCCAATATTTTCATTGTGTTGTTTTATGTTCCTGATTCTCACTTTGCTAAAAGCAGCCAGTGAGTGGTAGGTACCCACTGCCACTTTGGCAATACTTTACTGCCTTAACGATTTTTTCCACCAGATAAGCTGGCACATCACCTTTAAATTCAGCCTCCACCAAAGTCTCAGGAAATGGACAAATTGCAGTCAAATTCTTTGCTACACTATAATAAGAATAGCCTCTAGTCCAGTGTCCTGTGGAATCCTCAATTCTGCTCAACACTTCATCAGCATAGCCTTTATGGTCCATGTTCCTCTCCGTCTTTTGGCCTTCTGAGCCCTCAGCAGAATTGCTGAAGTTCACTGAGGGCACTGTTTGTAGCCGGCTT